GTGCACCCCAGCTCCCTTCTCACCCTCAACAACCTCAGAACCTCAAAAATCTGCGGAGCTCATGTCACCCTTTCTCACGTTTAGACATATTTCCACATAAAAATAGAAATTATTGCTCAGGTTTGGAGTTCCATAAAAATAAAATGTTGAGGGTTTTGAGAAACAAGCGAAGGTGTGCTCGTTGACTCCTGTATGGGTTCAGCTGTATGGGTTAGTCCAGCATTCTTCCCATTAAAAACTTTAATTTTTTTTAATAGTGCTTATCACTGGTCCAATTTTGTATAGCTTCAGTTAACATCACTGCATTGAAGGTAACCTCTGGAAGCCATCTATTATGCTTTCAATTATGAAGGAATGAAAACTAAGGAAGTAGAGATGGTGAAAAGAGATATATGCCAGATCTTTGTAGAAAATTACCTTTAGAAATGCAAGTAAGGGCAGGCTTTGTGTAGTCAAGACCTTCGGTCTGAAGCTCAGGAGCATGTCAAATGTTTGCTATTTGGTGTTAGTACAAATAAGACTTCTGATGAAATAGATTAGCCAAAAATAAAATAACACAATGTCTCAACAATATCTTCATCTCAAATATGCAGTTCCACTGACAGTCTTTACAGAAGAAATGAACTGCAAATCCTGCTGCAAAAGATTTTACCACCATTTAAATTCTGACAGTCATTTAAAAAAAATTACTTTGCATCAGCCTTTAGTTTTGGAAGGAAATGATGCTGGGTAATTTCAGCTGAAGTTTCTGTTTAGGAAAAGTTCTATGCAAAGAAATTGACATTTAGAAAACAGAAGTATTACACATATGTGATGTTTGTATTAAATTAATTGCATTTAAACAACAGCATGGAAGGTCAACTTAAACAATATTTTGCAGTTTTAATAATATTACTGTAACAAATGGCTGTCAGGAAATTACTGGAAATACCAATGAAACATTCTACCTTTAGCTGAACAAAGAAGTATTGTAAAAAGGGCATTGATGATAAAATAAGAGTTGGGCACTCTATTAATATGTATCATTTATACTAATATTATAAGTTTAAAAATTTGTTAAATTTATTTAAATGCTTTAAAATTGAATCCTAGTGTTCTCAACTTCATTGGTGATTTATGGTAATCTGAAATTATTATAAAAATGTAGTTGTTAACTTCTAAAATCTGAGTTGATTTAAATAAAAATTCCAAATTTATTCAAAATCACACAAATCAACATCATTCTGGCTAGATCTTCATGGCAGGCAATGACAGAAAACATTTGCTTATTGATTTAGATTAGCCTCAGTAATTCTGTGACATTAGTCTCACGTTCAAGCTCCTTTAACTCAGCCTCACCATCTCACCCAGAGCCCTTCCTTGGTCTTGTGCTGGTGCTCATCTTGCTCCATCATCAGCTTTCAGAGTAAAATAACCTACACTTAATCCCACAAAAATTGTTATCAGTGAACTGGGGACCATTCTGGGGTGAGAATGATTAGGCAGGCAAGGGAGCCCATGGCCACTCAAGATGAGATATGTTTTAAGTATCATAGAACCACTACATCACATCACACCATTCTGGGAAAGAAGACACTCCATCAAGTTTTTAGAACTTTCTACTTTCTTAAAGATTATTTTGGATCTCCATGTTATTGTAAATTGTCGCCCCAGTATGACTGTACTAAAGCTCTTGTTTTCAAACAGGAAGGGTGGAAATTGGGCTTGATCATGCTTCACAGGGGAAAATTATGGGTTGTGTTTACCAGCTTCTGTGTCCAAGAAGAAATAGGAGATAGTGCTACAATACCTGCATTTCTGGTGAGGGAAACTGTTTGAAATCTTATCTGGAGCACTTATGACAAGCTTCAGTGGTCTGGCTCTGCCAATGTAGCTGCTGTTGTCGACTTGTGGCTTGAAATTAGCATGCAGTTTTCAGTACTCCTTCTTCCTGTTGTTAAGAAAGTAATGGAAAATCAAGGAATGTTGCTTCACTGGAGGTACTAAGCCTCTCCCACACAATGCTCCCTCCATTCAGTCACCTTGCAGAATTTTTTGTGAGAGCTGACTTTTTTTATTACTTTATTTTCTGCAAAGACTAAAGTAATCTACTTTTTTCCTGTTTACAATAAAATCAACAAAGGGAAAAGTTAATATTTCCCATCCTATACTGCCATCAAAAGTGCAGGAGGACGTTTTGTGTGGAGATTGGGATCCTGCTGTTGACTAGAACATAGTTCCAGGAACTAAGGCAACAAAGACCTCGGTTCTACTTAGAGGAAATTGGGGAGCTGGCCTAACATGATCTGTAGGTGGATCATATTTTGTTTTCTCTAAAGAACTTCATCCCACCCACTTCTTGAGCAGAGAACGCCCAGAGTCTTCCTGTTTAGGTCTCTGTAAGCAGTAAAACACCCTAAATAATAAAGTCATAAAGGGAATTAGGGCAGGTTGAAATTGGGATGGGCCATATAGTCTGCCTTGGCAGTCATTCACAGTAAACTAAATCATATCCAGAACCTAGCTGGGCTTAGTATGCTATGTTTATGTAGTAGTATCTGTGAATAGAAGAACTTTAAAGGAGTACATTTAAATGAGTACACAAGTAGATGTCATAATTTTTTGTATCACCACTCCAAATATACAGCACTTACATTCATGCTTTGCAGTGGATGTCATCACAGGAGCACTAAATGTATCCGTGTTATTATAAAACTGGTATTATAAAATATTTTCAGTGTTGTCTTTTTGTCTTTGCCATTGATAAACCCTACATCACATTAAAAAAAAAAAAAAACTACCATTAAAAAAAAAGCCAAATGTTTATTTGTTTCTATTATAAGCCATACATATATATCTCAATACACAAGTCTTAATAAGAACTTACGACTCCAGAGACTTGAAGATAGGGATGTTCTTGAATATTAATCAGTGTTACACCACACCATGCACTTGGTAACTTACTGCTAACTTTCCATTTCTTCTACACAGAAGTAGTAGCCATAGAGCAGGGAGCAGTCATGAGGGTACTCAAGCAGGCTGAAGAATAAGGCAAACAATATTTTGGGGTATTTTTGTAATATTTTCCATCATTTTATGCACTTGAAATAATTTAACCTTTTGTACTAACTGAAGAAAAATGTGTTTTGGGGTTTTTTTTATGTGAGAGGGAATGGGACAGGAGTTACTGGAAAAATAAATTCCATTTTCAAGGCAGACTTATCAAGTAAGTAACATTAGAAGAACAGCCTGCCCACCTATTGTGAATGTTTCCAAATTTTATCTGGCATGCTCTGCTGTGCAATTTCTTGTGCTTTTATTTCTGAAAACCTTATTTTAGTTTAATTTTTTTTAGGTACACGATGGTTCAGGCTGCTGTGTGCTGCAAACTACATGTTAAGTCAGCATTATGTAGCTTACAGGATAGATATCTTAGACATCAAGATCATTTTATTAGCCATGTTATAACATATTTAATAGCTCTTTGTGTCTTGTGGCCAGTGATTGTTACTATTTGTTATCACCAGAACAGTTTCATGTTTTTGAGTTAGGAACAGATGAATATCAACGTTAGGTAGATCCAAAATTATAAAACATCTCATGACGTGAGAGGCACACATGAGATTATAGCCCATGCTACTACTTTATTCCCTGTGCTCAAGTAGGAATCATTTGAATAATTTCTAAGAGGAAGCATAGAAAGTACAACTTTTCAAGCAAGGCTAACCAAAATGCTGGTTTGATTTGTTTGGTTTTTATAAAGAACAGTCATGGAGAATTATAATGAGTATGCCCATATACATGAACTTCACAAAAAGACTGTTGTCTATTAACACTGGACATTTTTTAAAGATCTACTCTAGTATCAACAGCAGATGTACTTTAAAAAAGTCTTTGTTAATATTTTAAAGCTTGAGATCTTCAAGTATCATCTGGCTTTAAATCAGCAGTTTTTCTTTATTATAAGGAACAGAGAATATTTTTTCTTTCATAGGAAAACCACATAGACTCTGCTTCTTTCTAGCCTGCAAATCCCTAGTCCTTGAGATTGTTTTCTGTTGATGACTCCTTTAAATAAATTACAGTGATTTATAAATGCTGAGTGCAATTAATGTGTACTAATAAAATAAAAAGACTACAAAACTTAGCTACCAAAGGCAGTAGAACACTTATGGAAAGGTGGAAATCTCCTTTACTTCCAAGGAATAATTTAGCAGGGCCTCTGGCAGTCAGCAAGCCTCCTGTGCCAATAGGTCTGTATGGAGATGGACACTGCCAGCTCCCCACCCCCTCAGAGAGTCCACAGCCACTGTCCCCTACCACTCCATGGCATACACTCACTTCTGGTCCAGCTGCCTCTGTGCCCCTCCTCGCCTCTAAGTCAATGCATCAATACCACAAATTCAGGTCTGAGCGCAAAGAAAATGCCATTCTCCTTCTGCCCAGAGACATAAGCTGACAGCCTTCTCCACTCAGAAGGTCGCCACCCACCACTTATCCACAAGTAGCCTCTTTCTCCCCTTTATTTTTTTCATAAGGGGCACTGTGAAAGCTTTGCCCATCACCTGCCTGCCATCCTTGAAGCCACATGGTCACACACATCCTCCTACTACTCCTTTGACCCAGTGTCAAAGCCCAGCTCCCACTGTGAGACCACCCCACGAAGAAGTACCAGGTGCTCCCTGCAGCCTAATCCTGAATAAGGACATGCTTCACTGCTCTAGCTCTTTTGATACTCCAGGTAATTTATATGTCACATATTGAGAACTAAACCTTGCAATGTTGTACAATTGCTTCCTACCTGAAGACATTTGCATCACACTCTCCACAGTT